GGGAGATTGTGATAGTTGACCTGAGCATTTACGATTAAATGCAAAATTCTAGATGGCATACAAAACCCTTTATAAGCTGAAGATAAACGATTTGGCTTTGCTGTTACAGCTGTGGAAGGTCTTAGTCAGCATGTTGCAGAGAATCCAGGACAGGTCTCCTATATAGATTCCTCCTCCCTGTTTTTTAAAGCAGCAACTCCATCTATAATTCTAGCTGACTTACTTATTTATTGATGAATTCAATTCTTAATTAGGCTGATATCAGCATATTTTGCCTAGCTTTGTTTAAATGTATTTAATCTCCAGTACTATCCTGAGCAGTTGAATAGAACTATTTTTCTGTTGCGTTAAAATGTAAATGTATTACTTTGTTTATTCAGTTCAAGAGAACAGTGGGGGGAGGGTGTCCTTGGATTGACCAGACAAGTGAAACTCCCTGTAAATTGGGATACTACTATCAGAAAAGCGCCTTTTGCTTTGCTAACAATGTAACATACCGCATAACAGTTTTGCAAATTCATCAAACAAGAAGGTGTCCTTTTGCTTATTGGAAAATCATCAACATCACTTTGTTTAACAGTGTTAGATTGTAATATGTTAGATTGTAACATGTAACAGTATTGAAACTGCAAGAGGTTACTTAGTTTTTTAAACATTATTAGAATGTGAATGGATTTATGTTAGTTCAGTCAGCAGCTTCTGCCCCTGGTACCTACAGATGGACATGTGTGTGGTGCTGCCATGAGTCTGCCTTCATAGAAAGGGATTTCTAGTCAGAAAAAAACAAGTAATATACACATGAATTATCTTACAATAAAGATCTAAATGGAAATCCTGAGATGATGAGGCTGGCCAGAGCAGACTCGCCTTCCCCCCTGCTTTTTTGTGGAGCACGGGTGAAGAATAACTAGCTTGGATAAGGAATAACTAGCTTGACTCAAAGAGGATTGCCCTCTTTCTTTAGCAAAATCATACTACAAATCTGCTTTTCACCTGATGCTTTTCCCCATAGGCTTCCCAGGAGCATCTGGCTTCTCAGAGCTAATCCTGCCTTCACAAATGCTTTCTCGGGGCACAAGTCTATTGCCATCATTTCTGTGGGCTGCTGCTTGCAGCATTTCTCTGGAAAACTTTTTTTTTTAGACCCTATTACTTTTAGTCTATAATCTTTTACCACATCACTTCATCTGCTTTCTCTCTTTCTTCTGCTGCTTGCCTGTACCTCACAGAGATGGGGGGAGTTGTGGGAGAGCAAAGGGTAAATTGTTCTGTCAGGTGAGTTACATGGTGGCAGCTGCCAAGTAAAGGAGTATGGCATGGAAATGGGGACAGCAAACTGGGTCAGGGAGCTGGGGAACTACTCGGAGCATTGCTGTGCCCCTCAGCACTGCCTGACCCTCTCCTGCATCAGTGAGTTTGTCCTTAATCCACAAATGTGAAGTCAGCTAAGTCTCAGGTCCACAGTCACTGTAGGAATGCATACCTCACCTTCTTTGGCATCTCTCCCATCCTGCTTCTTAAAACAGAAGAGCTTCTCTTCAGATTCTTTTAATGACTTTTCTGAGGTCATGGGTTTAAACAAAAGGATAAAGGTGAAAGTTTTCCTCAGCATGATACTTTTCTACAAAGTTTGTGCTGTGTATTTTCTAGACCCTGAGTCAGCATTTTTTGATACCGTCGGAGGGGTTTTGGTTTAGGGTTTTTTTTTTTTTGGTTCCTTGTTCATCTATCTTATAAAAATCCAAATGTGGTCTTCCAGGAAGGGTGTATACTTTTGTGTTCAATATTTGACATCTGGAGAGAAGTCAGAACAGACATCTGCAGAAGAACCTTACTAAGAATGTGTATTACCAGAAAGAAAGAATTATTTTTCTTGAATACTTATACAAATACCAACTCATTCTTCTGTTTTCAGACCATGGTGTGAAGATGAGGTGGAGTTAAAAACACAGGAACTAGTGAGTTGCATATCCTGATGTGCAGCAGGGGGCTACATGAAAAAGAGATGTCAGTGAGGAGAAGCAGGTCAAGTTGCCATAGTGTTACACACCTAGTGTGGTGCTTGTACTTGAGGATGGTGACAGCAGAGAGTTCAGAGACCTCAGTGAAAGCTGAGGCAGGAAGAGTGGGAAGCAGAAAGAATCTCTTCCAGTTGCTTAGCTCCCCCCTAAGCTTTTGTTTACAGAAGTCTTTCCACTTGCTCTTTTTTTGAGAAGCAGAACCAGAATCATAATAGAGGCTGTGTAAAGGGAAGATAGCCTGCAAAGGATCTGCAGTGTTTCCATAGAGAAAATTTCTCCACCTCTACCTAATGTTTCCAAGAAAAAGCTCTGTATAAGTCCTCTTCTGGATTAGAGGGACAAGGAGCAACCAGATCTCTTGAGCTGTATCTGTAGGAACTCCTCATTAATGCTGGCTGGGATTTTGTGCCTCTTTAGCCCAAACAGAATGGGCACGTTAAACAAGACTGACTTTGTGGCAAGTGCGGCGACCCAAGTATGGCTGTTCTTTTGAACTTCACTTCAGCTAGTGGTCAGTTCTCTTCCATTCAGGAACACAGATGTGGCCTTAATGGAAGTATCTTGGGGTTCCCAAAATTCAACCTGAGGCTCATAAACAATGCAACCTGAGGTGGGAACTCACAAAGGAAAGGAGGAAATAAAGGTGTCTCTGGTTTCCCTCCAGGGGGGCTTATGGTTTATTGCCTGCTTTCACAGTGGGACACCAAGTTTGAGCATGAAGCAGAAGATTAATCTTATTTTTGCACACAGTGTGTATTTATATATGTTTATTTATATATGTGCATATGTAAATACATGTATGTATACATATCTTGCCTAATCTGATGGGGCAGGAGCAATGTGAAATACCTCGTTTTCAGGACCAGTAACTTGAGGAGGATGCCATGTTAGTTGTCTGGGAACAAAGGGGAAGAGGAGGAAGAATCTCCTTTCTCTTGCCTGGGGTTTTGTTTTTATTCACATCTGTGATTTGTAGTGGAAGTTGGTTTGGTAAAGCAGCATTGCTGAAACCTTTCGTAGAGGCGGGTATTTGGATTATGCTCACAGTTTACATTGATCTGCATGCAGAGGAGACATATGTGATAGCTGTGATTTCTCCCTGGAAAAGAAAAACAAAACAATTGCTGTGTCCAAAGGGGTGAAAGCTTCTCTTGTGTTTATTGCTTCCAGGATTTCCCAGTTTCAAATGTGTCAGGATAAATGCTGTATTTGGGAAAAGCATAAGGGAGGGTTGTGAATACAATTACAGCCAAAAGTTCTTTCTGGGCACAGGTTGCTTGCGCGTGTCATTCTTGAACTGTGTGATTTTTTCTCAAGAGGAAGAGACCCAGAAGGGTCATGGGGTTTTTCACGGGGGAGAGAGGAAATGAGAAACACTTTCCCTCTTTTGGAGAAAGGTAAAAGCAGGATATACCAGGATCCCATCAAATCCTATTTATTGGCGCTGAGCCTTTTCAGAGCTGGGAACAAATCTGCACCAAAAATCCCAATGTTAGTACGTGCAGGAAGAAACTGCTGAGGAGAGGAGGGGAAGAAACAAGGCAGAGTCAACTTCTTGGACCAAATGACATTAGCCAGATTTGAGATCTAGGTCCCAAACTGAGGTATTTACACAGGAAATAAATATGGCTATGCACATCTTGTGCATTGTAAATTAACAGCTTCTGACAGTGAAGAACTATGAAAAGCCAGAGCCAGTTAGTGATTTCTAGCCAAGCCTGTTGAGTTTTGGGCCCTCATAGGGCTGCAGCAGAGAGCAGACATGACTGCTCTTCACGAAAGGCGTTCATTGTGTATCCTATGTTTGACAGCCTCCCAAAACACCCTGAATTGTGCTCCTAAACTTACCTGTATCTGTTCCAGGTTTTGCCCCTCTTGTCAGGAGAATGTCTGTCCTGAACAATGCAATTTGGTGACACTGAAGATGTGTATTTTGGCCTGACAAGGCCAGGTCAGGCAGGGCTTTGAGCAACCTGGACTAGTGGAAGTGTCCCTGCCTATGGCAGGGGGTAGGAACTAGATGATGTCTAAGGTTCCTTCCAACTAAAACCATTCTATGGTTCTATGACCGATCCTGTCAAATTTTGCCTGTAGTGGGTCTGCCCTCCCTCCCCTCACCTATGTAAGAAGAAAGCTATAACAACTTCCAGAGTCTGTATCAAGCAGTACCATAAAAAATATGTATCTGACACATGAAGTCAGTAGTCTCCTGAAAACTCCACATATCCAGCCACAGGTGGAGCACTGTCTGTTTCTTTTCACCATGCTACGGTGTGCACTCAACAGTACTAGTTCCTCTTCCCCAGTCCAGCACTTTCCCACCTGAGTGAGAGAGCAATTGAAAAAGAACCCCAAAATCCTTCTGCTTATAAAAATCCGTTTCTTTTTGCCACATGCAGATCAAGACATTTTAGATAAAAGTACGTTGGTTTATGTAAGTTGATGGCAGTCTCTCTTTGATTTTAGTCAGGACCAGGATTCTGCACACATACGTGGCTATCAAAATAGTAATTTTTCAGTAACCCATCTTTGAAAGTGTGGGGTAATAGTAATACTTGGAGATAAAGCCTGAAAATATTGTGGCACTTCAGAGGTGTCCTGCCCACCTTTTTCCTATCACATTTGTGCCTCAGTAAATCAGGGATCACGTTTGAGTAGCAAAGGTGGTTTCTATGCAGTGGAAGTTCAGGAAGAGCCAGATGCCATACTGCTGCTTTTGCACTGAGATGCCAGTTTCCAAGTCAAGAGATTGGAAGCAAGAAGGAATACCTGTAATGCTGTCTAGTTGATGTTTCATTTTGGGACCTAAAATGGAGGTAAATGAAGGAACAAAAATAGGGTTTGTTGTTGAGATTTGTCGTGGTAGTGGTATTAACATCTATCTAATTGTGAGTTATCAAGACAGCGTCATTTTCTCATTCAGCTGATACGGGTTGGAGTAGTCGAAGGAAAAACCCACCTATGTACTGCTGTGACAACTTGTGGCAGAGGACACTGTTTATTAGCAATTCCACATGGTGTTTGTGCTTGTGCACCCATTTTACATCGGCGTACATTGTATGCTCCCCTGGCTGCTGGCAGCATGCCCTCCCGGCAGGCCCTCCGTGCTTTCCCACTCCGGTGGCACTGACACTGGCACCGGCACCCTCCCCGAGGTCACTCCGTATGGCAGCCATCACCTGTGGCAGCCTGGGATTTCAGACCCGGGAGCGCCAAGCCTTGCTCTGCCCGCAGCCAGGTCTTCCAGTACCGCCGAGGAACGTGGGTTAAATCGGGACCCCCGGCCTTGGGGTGCCGCGTCCCGCATTCCTGTTCCCCTGCCGCCAGGCCGCAGGCCGGGGTGTCGGTGGGGGTGCGGTTGCGCCCGGAGGCCGCGCAGGTCCGCGAAGGCGATGCCAGATCCAGGTTTTCGCGGCAGCAGCGCACCCGGGGCGCAAGGGCCGAGGCTGGCGGGCGCGGCGGCGCTGGGGCGCGGTGCGGGGCGGCCCGGGGGGCAGCGGGGGGGCTGCCCGGCCCGGGAAGGGGTGTGGGTGCCCGGAGCAGGAAGGGGGGGGCACGGCGGGGCCCCGCCGCCTGTCCGCGGCCCCGCAGGATCCAGGTAGATCCGTCCGGCTTTTACCTTTCTCCTTCGGTTTCCCTGCGCGTAGGGCTTCTAGCTGAGCTGTTTCCTGGTCTCGCAGAAAGAGGCAGTGCTGAGTTAGGAAGACAAAAATAGACCTTTACAGAGAAATATAGGGATTGTGTGCGCGGTGGGGAGGGAGAGAGGAGAGCGGCACCCGGCTGGTTTCCAGGAGGAGCCCTTTTTCTCCCTCTCGTTGCATGTTAGGCATTTTTGCACCGATTTCTCCCCCTCCACCCCCTCCCTGCCGGGGCACGGTCACCTCCGCTGCCCGCCCTCCGCATCTCCTGTGGGGAGCGAGCAAACCAACTCCGCGGTGCTCGGAGAGCGGCTAGAGACCATTTTCTGTGAGCGAGCCCGGGGGGGGGGGGGGGTTTGGGGGGGAAGAAGAGAAGAGAAAGCGTCGCAGGGACACACGGATATAAAGACTTGTCTTCTGCCTCCCCCCCTTCCCCCTTCCCCTTTCCTCCCCCTTGTAAATACTAAATCTGTGAAGGCAAGGATTTGACATCCATCCTAAGAGGCGGCTATGGGGTGTTTGGGCAACAGCAAAACGGAGGATCAGCGTATCGATGAGAAAGCGCAGCGAGAAGCCAACAAAAAAATAGAGAAGCAGTTGCAGAAAGAGAGGCTGGCTTATAAAGCGACCCACCGCTTGCTCCTGCTGGGTAAGGAGGAAGGGGGCTGAGGTGGGGGACGGGGAGAGGAGAAGAGGGGTATCTGCGGAGAGGGGAGATGTGGTGCGCGCCTTAGGTATGAAAAATGTAGGCTGTTGTATCGAGCGCTATGCGAGACGTCCACAGATTGAAGCTCAGCGCCTGAGCCACATGGATGCAGGCATACAGAAGCGCTGCCGGAGGTGGGAGATGCTATCGCGTCCAAAAAACAACCAAAACCCACCCTGAGCCCCCAGCCTGAACCGTGTATCACAATGTTCTCCCTCTCCTTCCTTCTCTTTTAGGGGCTGGTGAGTCAGGAAAAAGCACTATTGTGAAACAAATGCGAATCCTACATGTCAATGGATTTAATTCAGAGTAAGAATTATTGATGCTTTGTGACTTATTTTTCATTAAATATTGGAAACAGGTCAGCACACGGTAGGCTAGGAAATTTCTCCTCTCATCCCCTGTGTTTTGGTGGCTTGACACTTCGTTCTGAGTGAGGAAGGGGGTGAGGATAAGGAAATTACTGCTATTGTATATTTGCATTTTCTCCTTCTGGCCCCTTTACTGTATTTTACACTGTTGCTGCTGCAGCACTTGACAGGCCCCTGTGTAGCAACAACATGGCGACTACTTTTTACATAGAAGCAAATAACCAAATATTGCATCTGTCCATAATTCAAAAATACATGTTAAGTCACATTCAGGGTGACTAAAACAGTATCTGCTGTTTTCCGGTATTGAGGTTAGCATAAAACTGAAACTAATTTTGCACATTTGCAAGAAATCATTCTGTTTTCTGAGGCTACATCATTTTCTCTCTGAAGAACTCTTTGCCAGAAATTATTATTAATCCATAGCATTAATCTTAAATACCTGTTGGCCTTAACTACGTGTTGTTATTTTAGAGCATGTTTACAGCATGCTGTAGAAATGAAAGAATGACTTCCAGTTCCATCAGGGGAGGCTTTGCAGATGTGGCTATGATTGTCTGATTAAAAAAAAAATAGCAGGGGTGAATGTGCATTGCTCTTCGTACTATGCAAGAAAAGGGATAAGGGGAAAAATATCTTTTTCTTGCTGTTCTTTTCATTTTATATGTTGTAATGATTGAAGAGCAGATAAACAAGCGATCAGTGAAAAAGAAAATTGAATGCAACTGACTGAACTGCTTTGGAAAAAAAAATCAAAGTGTTAATATTTCTGTTTTAATGCAGAGAAAAGAAACAGAAAATACTGGATATTCGGAAAAATGTTAAAGATGCGATTGTGGTAAGAACACACTTTATACTGTTCTAAATGCTTGGCTGTACTGGAAATTATAAGGATTGTGCTCTCCAAGATTGTGCTGAGAGAAATCCCATTTTGCTGATCAGATTGGATTATCTTCTATTGATCCTACATCCGAGATTTATCCAGATTAATGTGTTTGTTTTTGTTTTATCCAATTCCAGACTATAGTTTCAGCTATGAGCACTTTAATACCCCCAGTTCCATTGGCCAACCCAGAAAACCAATTTCGAATGGACTACATCAAGAGTATAGCTCCTCTTTCTGACTTTGACTATACAAAGGTAAGAACAGAAACCACTGGATTTATTCTGCTTCAAGGGGGAGCATGTTGCTTCGCTTTGATTTACTGAAACATTGTCTTTTCTTTTGCTTTTTGGAAGATGGTCATGGGAAAAGCTTATGCCAGTATTATCACCAAGTTCGCTTTCTTACAAGACTGTAGTGGTTGCAACGGTTTTAGTGGTGCAAAGGTTTTGTTGTTACTGATATATTTGCTGCTGTTTGTAAATGCTGCTTCTGCATTCAGTTCTTATCTTCAACATTTCTGATATAATTATGCATATTGACATGTCAAATAAGACTTTGTTGAAAGCTGGTTTCCTATGTGGAATTACATGCAGCGTGTCAGTCTGAGGAGTTAAAGTCTACATATAGCAAATGGTATAAAAGGAAATAGAAGGGCAGAGTAGCCCCAGTGTTGTTTTCCATACTTACTGCACTTCAGAGTGGAAACTCACGGAAATGGTGGTCAAGTAAGGTGGTTTGCTTCCTTGTGTATTTGTTGTAGTTAGCATGAGAAGTGGTGTACTTGTATGTAAATATTGCCATCTTTTGATGGGGAATCATGAGAAAATTAGGGATTTTTGTAGAGAGGCTACTCTTCTGTAGACAAATGAGAGATCCCTTTCAGATTAACTTGCATAGGCATCATATGTTTGATTATTTTTACCTTTTTATGTTATTTATAGGAACATGCAAAGAATGTTTTATATATATATATATTATGCATGACATGAAAGCAAGTGCATAGACATTCTGAATATTGTAAGGAATTTATTTTTTGCAGTAGCACAATTTTTAATTTGCCTGAAAATGATACTGAGAGCAATTTGTTATGGATCCAGCAAGGACTAAAAAAAACTTCATTCATTGGGTAACTGATTGCAAGTTGTTCATGCCACCAATATTACCAAAGAAGCCATTTACAACCGAGTGTCATTAGGTTATTATAGCTTCAGGGTGGAAGGGGAAGAGGGGAAAGAGTTGTTTCTTTATTATATGACTCATATTCTCTGGTGTGTGGTTTTGCCTCTGGTAAACCTGCCACTTTGAAGGTTCAAGATAAAGAAAAATGATCAGACATCTTGTACAGTTAGAATTTAACACAGAATGCAGATGTTAAGAAATCGAATGCAAGGTACACCCACATACTGCATAATTACTCAACTGGTGAATCTAAGTTTGCAAAAATTAGAACCTCCTTTTAGAAATGGAATGTGAGTTTGTCATGAAGTATTTGTCGTATGCAGGTATTGCAGTTTTGAGGCATTTGTTGCTCATTTTACATGGGGTTTTTTTTGCTTGAATTTTGACTCGTACATCTTAGGGCAAAGTAAATGGTAGCATGCAGCCTTTGCAATTCTCTATAGTATATCTGGCTTTTTATGTTTCTGGGACAAAGAAAAACTAAAGTAGACTTTCCATAGCGCTAGTAGCTATATTTTATTTGTATTTTATTGTTTACAGAATTTCTCCTTTTTCACAGAACGTGACTATAACTAGTCAAATTTGACTTGCTGATCTTTTATAGAGGGGAAACCTTTTTTTCTTGGAGGGGAAAGGAATAGGACCCAGTGGACCGTGAAACAAGTAATAATTAATTTGAAACCTTGCTTCAAAGTCCATTTTGGTTTAAAGTTGAAAAAAAAATCACTTTTTTAACTAAGTAGAATTTCTGAAAATATCATCACATTATTTGAAATAGTGTCAAATAATAGTCCTAGTGTAAACAAAAAAAAAAAGTTGTTACAAGCTTAAAATAAAGAAGAAAAAACTAGTGTTGGTTTAGAAGTAAATATATTTTATGTGTCACTTTCTTCTTTTCCCTCCTGTTTTCTTCTCTGCTCAATTCATAGGTTTAGTATTTGTAAAATGTATCATCTGGGTAGTTTTTTATTGTTGGTTGGATTTTTTTCCCCCAAAATTAAGTTTTTGTTGGTTTAGAGTCTTATTTCTCTCCAAGAAGACGTGAGCAACAGAGACTGGAAAAAAGTGCTTTTGTTCTTCAGGGCTCGAATCTACTCCAGTTTAAGTCAATGATAACTTGAAGTAAAATTATATTTCTAGCTCAAATAACTTTTGACCCATTTAGTATTTTTGGGTAAGGACAAATATAAGAATAAATATTTGGCTAGTAATCAGTTACGAATCCTTTGCTAAGTGTTACTGATTCTCTTTAATTAATAGTTGATCTATGGGATAAGGCCTTCTGAGCCAGGGAAACCAGTACAGTATTTAGCAGTAGACATTCAGGACTTGCAGTTCTATCATCTGTACAGTTGACAAGGAAAAAATGCTGACCTAGGCAGTGCTCAGGTGTTGCCTCTGGGGTAAGTTTTGGCACATTCTAAAACATGATAAAGGTTACACTTCCTTTCAATAAGAGAAGAGGCATAGCCCTTACTGTTGCAACATGAATTACAGATGTTTTTCTGGGTGGTTTTAGCCATGCAATCTTTATCATAAAAATCGATGCATTTCAAATACATTGCATGCAAAATGTGGGAAAACGTGTGTACTGTATCATGAGTCTTTAAAGAGAGATCCCTGTTGAAATGCAAAAACTTCACTGATGGCATAATTTGACCACATTCAGGAGGCACTGATTTAAATATCTTTCTGACATATCGGGTGTGCTTGGATAGGTATGCTTAAATGGCATGCAAATTAACTAATATGCATTTAATTGTGAAAATTGCCCTTTAAAATAAGTGGATTTGAAAATACTGGTTTCCTGTGGATGAAATCATACTCTTAATTGCAATTTATGACTGAAGTTCCAAGAACTTGAATAAGGATAGGATTCACATTTAGACTTAGTACGCATTTTCAGGGTTTGTTT